TATATATATAATATATATAATATAATATATATAATATATTTATTAGTAAATTTATATAAACAAATTTTTTTATTAATAAATAGATATGTATTTTCTTCTTCATTTTCTAAACATTTCTAATAATTATGTATATAAATTTACTAACTAACTATAAAAAAATTTATTGTAATTTTTGTCTGTACATATATACATATATATGCATATATGTATACTTACATAAATTGTGTAAATGTATATGAATTGTCTGCATATGATGAGAAAAATGTAAGACTATCAAATTAGACAGATTAGTCATAATGATATCTCTCAGAAAAAATTAAAATTAAATAAAATAGAAATATATGTATTATATCAATTTAAAACTAATGTTATTAAATAATTTAAAAAAGAAATTGAATTTTATTATTCTCATATAAATTATTTACATATAATTTCTTTTTTCAATTTATTCTGTACATAATCTTTCATAATTATCTCTCATCTAATCTTTAAAACTTTAATTCATATATTTAAAATTAAATAATGATTCAACTTTTAAATAATAATTTTTCAAATTTTAGATTTGAAAAGAATATATTATCATATCAGAATATGTATTAATTTAAAGTTTTTATATTCCAAGAGATATCAATATTTGAAATTTGCTATTATTTAATACTTGGTAAAATTATTCATTTTATGTTTCATTATGAGCATATATATGAATGATATTTATTAGAAATAGAAAATTTTGATTTTTATTCGCAACTCAAATTCAAGACTTATAAAATTTCAAAATCTTCAAAAACTCTTGAAACTCAAAATACTTCAAAATATTTTTTAAATTCTGAAATTTTTTAAATTCTTAATAATTATATTCATATTAGCATGCATTATATATCAAATTTATTTCAAATGAAATAATCCATTTTTAAGGAATTAAACTCAAATTCATAATCAACTAATAGTATATAATAATACAATAGTTTTTTTTTTCTTGCAAAAAATTAAATTTTTATATTTCATTTTTTCTTCTATTATAATAATATGATAAATATATTAAAAAAATTTTAAGTTTATTATTAAGTTTATTAAATTCAAATTTAATTAGATTATTATTAATTAAATAAGTATAAATCCATATAATCAATATTTACACTTTCACAAATTACACAAATTATTATACTTATATACTAGTATTTATACAAATTATTATTTTTGAAATTTAAAAGTTTCAAAAATAATGAAGTTTCGAGGTTTGAAAATTCGAAATTTTTTGAATATACTATATATACTATATATTTTTTGATTTCATTTTAATACATTTTAAAATTTTGATTATTATTTTTAATATTTATTAAGAATATTTTGATATTTATAAAACATATTAATATATATTTAACAAAAAATATTTTAATGAAAGTTGCATTCATAGAAACTAATTTGAGTTAAAAGCATTTTTTTTCAGAATATTTTTCCAATTCTAATTATTACATTAATATTTTTTTTAAAAGAAATTATTTTTTAAAAATAAGATTTTTTAAGATAAGATATTAAAAAGAGTGTAAATGATTACACAATATTTTTTATAATAAAATTAATTATACGTAATATTTATTTATTAA